ACATTGTTGGTGGGAGTGTAAACTAGTTCAACCACTGTGGAAGATAGTGTGGAACTTCCACAGGAACCTAGAACTAGAAATTCCATTTGACCCAGCAATCCCATTGCTGGGTATATATCCAAAGGATTATAAATCATTCTGTTATAAAGACACATGCACAAGTATGTTCATAGCAGCACTGTTACAATAGCAAAGGCCTGGAACCAACCCAAATGCCCATAGAGGATAGACTGGACAAGAAAAATGTCACATAATACACCATGGAATACTATACAGCCATAAAAATGATGAGTTCATGTCCTTTGTAGGAACATGGATGAATCTGGAAACCATTGTTCTGAGCAAACTGACACAAGAACAGAAAACCAAACACCACATGTTCTCACTCATAGGCAGATGTTGAACAATGGGAACACATGGGAACATGGAGGGTAACATCACATATTGGGGTCTGTTGGGAGTGGAGGACTAGGGGAGGGACATCAGAGGGTGGGGAGGTTGGGGAGGGATGATATTGGGAGAGATGCCTGTTGTAGGTGACGAGGGGGATGGAGACAGCAAACCACTATGGCATGTGTATACCTATGCAACAGTCCTGCAAGATCTGCCCATGTACCCCAGAACTTAAGGTACATTATATAAATAAGTAATAAATGAATTCATTCTTTTTTTGCTACTATATTGAGTGCCAGACCTTACACAGTAATAGTCTTCTAAGGCAATCTTATTTTTTGGAGCTGTTTTGGTTCTCTTGTAGATAACCAGCCTATCTTACCAAATGATGACATGATCTGCCTAAAGGAATGACTGTTTAATCATAATTTTTAACTTCTTCAATGAATTGGATGATTTCGTATATAGAGCATTGAATTGTGAGTCTTGTGCCTTGATAAATGGTGGCAACCAACACCAAACCACACAAACCAGAAGTTCATTTCTCCTTCTCCTCAACCCACTCCCACCATCTGTAAATTTTAACTTCCTAAATTTCTTGGACCTACTATTTTCTCGGCATCATCACTACTCTTGGTTCAGGCCTTGCCATGTCTCTCCCCTAAACTACTGACACAGCCTTACGAGAGGCAGTTTGCTTTGTTTCCAAACCATCTTCCAGTTTTTGCTCAAGCAAAATTGCTCAAGTAATTTTTCAAAACCCAATCAGGTTACTCCCTCTGAAACTCACCAAAAGCTTCTCTTTCTTCTGTTACACTCTAGTCTTCTTGGTAAAGCATAAAAGGCCACCCATAATTAGCACTTATCTTTTCCTCTTCATTCACGGAGTCTCAGTAATGTTAGTCCATCTAAAATCCCCAGAACAAACCTCAGAGTCTTGCCTCCTTGTTGTTTCTTAGCTTCTGCCAATTTTTCTTGCTCTGTCCTTCCATTCCTGGCCACATCTCATCAGGTTGTTAGGAGCTTGATGGGCAAGTTACGGTGACATAAGTATACCTAATAATAATACTATAATATATTATTAGGCATACTTAAGTTATACCTTATTATATAATATTACTAGGTATACTTATGTATAATACTAATTATTATTATTTGGTGAGGTCCTCCAGTAAAAAACAAGTGGTTTTTTTTTTAATTTCTCTAAAAAAAATACTGCATCATGTTTATCTTTATTACTCAATGTCTTAGAACTCTATTTACATGTCTTTTAGCCAAGAAACTCATGACCATATGCATGTCTTCTCTTCAGAAGTGTCAGTTTTAGGTTGGCTAGATCTGAACAGACTCCTCCAGACAGTGGTATCCTGCAAAAGTTTTAAGTACGCAAATACAGTGGTAATGCAAAGGTGACTGGGTAGAGTCGAGTGTCATTGAACAAAAGATTTAAACAATTTTATGTGACAAAATGAAATGCCTTTTAATATGAAGTTTTTTTCACTGATATAGCATTTTATTTAACAATTTTTCTTTTCTTCCTTTTCTATATGTAGCTTAATTTGCATCCTAGTATATCCGATTCATGAAACTAGGGTCTGTTCCTCATTTTTGTTTTTGTAGAGTCTTTGATACAATAGTCTTTTGGTAAATACTGCTGTCTTTTGCCAAGGTGTGAGGTCCAGTGCATTTAACTGTCATGAGAATTATACCTTAGCTAAAAAAAATTATTAAAAAGCAGTTACATACATTTAGGGAATTTCAAATTAGAATTTCAGAGCCTTCGGATGACTCAGTAGCAGCTGTGGATGTGATGGCAAAGCCCAAAAAGCTTAGAACTAATCATACAAATTCCCACCCAGAGCAGCTGTACTTTCTTTTGTTTTGTTTATGTATTACAACATTTTACTTGAAACATAGAATAAATTTTAAAATCAGGCACAAATAATTAGAAATTATCAAAATCGATCGTTCTCTCTCCAAAGTCTTGTGATTCAATAGCATCTTTCATTAAAATAATTGAGAGTATTATTTTCAGTGACGTTAAATTGGGGTTTATTAATCTGAGGTGTCTATAATTTGCCTGGCGTAAAATTGTGTTATCTTTTTACTAAACTCATTGAAATTCTGTACTTCCTGTGCTATCTTTGTCACTAATAGAAATTACATTTATTTTTATATGACACTGCATTTGTGGAAGTTCTCTCAAATTAGGATCTATGATAATCACTACACTGAAATTACAGTATTTTTAGACTCACTTGGGTCTTGATATTGACTTCTGCAATCAGGAAGCATATATATTACTTATCACAAATTTAAAACACATTTTGACAAATATCTTTTAACATACTTAATTTCCTTTGTAATCTTTAAAAAATTTTTGCCCTTAAAATATTATTCTGGGAAGGATTCTATATGCAAAGAAGACTAATGGCATAATGCACAGGTATTAACTGGTAACACAGCTGATATTATTTCATATCGGAAAAGCAGCTATATGCCCACAAGTGCTTTCTATATTTGTAAGTTATATACCTCAGCAGCTGTATTTGTTTGGTGAAGATTAGCACCATTCACTCTGTGTCTTACATTCAGTTTCTGTGTATCACTGCACTCTAGAAAGGAGTGCATTCTGTATCACTTTCCTTGAACAGAAAATTGTTGTTATTCTCTTCATTTGTTTCATAAGTTTATTTTTTTGTGTTTGTTCTTCTTAAACTCAGCACTTAGATCCTTTACTAAGTATGTGGCTTTTGCTGCCCCAAGATCCCTTCAGCTGCTTCTTCTAATACCCTAATTTTCCTTCATGATGCACCCCTTCTGCACCATCAGTTTCTGGTTTTGAATAGGACCAACTCCACTACAACCCTGTATCTGTGATACTGGACATAAGGTAAGTTTCTGTTGTAAAACTGATGGGCACTTGACACATCTAGAACTGATGTGACTTAATTCTGCAACTTTAATAAGCAAAGAACACTTTCTACTCTGCTTTCTGAGTAGGCTGTTAGCCAAAGGCTTGACAGTCATCTTCCCACAAGAAGGAAAGAACATTTGTGGAATGGAACTGGTAGAGAAAAAAGCAGCTAAAAGACAGGAGAAAACAAACAACATAGACCCAGAAGAAACATTTTAAAACATGGCTGAAATTAATTCTTCCCCTGGACTCTTCAATTATGGTAGTAACCAACTCTGTCTCTAGCTTAAGTCCTTTTAAGTCGGCTTATATCAAGAAGAACAATTATCTTGGTAGACGTCATTAGAAAAGTTTAGTCACTCAATCCCTTTAAAAGAAGAAAAGACTGATTAGTTTTATGATATTATAATTCTGTTAGGTAATAATTAAGCCAGTGGATGTAATTTTTTTTGTGATGTAAGCCCCTCATATACATACTTTATATTACAGCAAACATTAATACAATCAACACATTGTACAGAGGAGTGAATAACTTTCAATGTTAAGTCACTTATCTTAGATCTATAGAGAAAAACATTGTTATAATTTTCATTATGAGTTCTTTTCATTGTGTTTGTGTTCTTTTCATTATGCTTGCTGAAAACAAAATATAGTATAACTTCTCTACTAGTATAAAATAAACATGAACAGGATGCAATCAAAAACTCAATTGTGTAACTGCACTAATACCTCTCTCCCATCCCGCTATCTTCTCACTTTCTTGCTGAAGTAGCATTTTATATCTTTTAAGCATTCTTTATAGAAAGGTCTCCAGGTGATTTACAAATAGAAGTCTCATGACACCCCAGGGGAGGTAACGTCCTGTAGGTTCACTTGAGGAAGGGCATATCCAAACTAAGACATAAGATAAATAAGCTCCTCTTGAAACTAGGAAAAAAAAATAGTTGTCAAGTGATGAACACAAATGTGGATGATTATTCTTCCAGTGGAACACAGAATTTCTGCATCACTGGAAAGAGTATTTTTTTTTTTTTACACTGTAGCTGTATTTGGAGGATATGATATACTATAGCTAAAGTGGCATAATTTCTAAGCATATTGGGGTTTGTGGCACATGTAATACAACTCCTTGTTTGGGAAGTAGCTTTCCAGTATGTATGATGTATATCAGGCTAATTCTAGTAGAACTTGAATTTTGCATACATTTTCCAGGGCTACTATGCCTTTCTGCTTTTCCATACCCTCAAATGACGTGAAATTGCCTTAATGAGGCTAATTAAAAATCTGGAAACTAAGTATGCTTGTGTCTTTAAAAATTTTGGGTCATATTTGGGAGGCTTTTAAGTAGTGTAATACTTTAGTTAAAGAAAATCTTTTTTATGAATATGCAGATTATGTATCATTTCTTTTAGTATTTAGCTCATGGGCTTTCTTAGAGGCATAATATCCTAATATCCAAGACCAGCACACTCAGGAGAATAATTGAATTTGAATATAATTAGAATAGTTCACAGCTTAGGAAACATTGGTGAGGAAATGATGACGTAGGAAGCTGACTTGAATTGGTAATGGTTTTAGGAAGCAAACACAGACGCTGATGCCTTATTCTGGACAGTTACTGTTAAGAAAGTTGTCGGAAGAAACACATCTGCCTTTTTTTTTCCAGGTGAACAGCCGTGAGTTGTCCAGCATGATAGTGCTCATTTTCTTGGGTAAGTGAATGGTGTTTCTGGTTTATCTGAATTACTAATAATACTAATTCTTTGTAAACTGAACACCATCACGCTTAAACTTAACAGCAGCTTATAATATGAAGTACCAAGTACATTACAGATTTATACTTTAACATGATTTATTTCTCTTGCAAAAATGTACACTCACTTTTACTTATTTCTAACTCTATAGATAATGCAGAATATGAAAATTGCATTAATCTCTCAGATAGTTTCTGTGTATAAAGTGACCCAGTGTTTTTGAGCTATTTATTAGGATTAATGGAATTCACATGTGTTAGAACCTTTTAGAAATAAAACCTTCCAGTATCTGTTTACAAGTTATAAGATGAAAAATTTCTAACTATTATCTATTTTATTTGCTTTGAAATTAATACAAATAAGACTAATTTAAACTTTTCAATTTCCTACAGTGTTAATATTTGCTAACTGACATTTAGTGAAGTAAAACAACTTAACGTTATATCAAACTGCTTCATACTTTGATTAATTTTTATAAACCAGAGCTGAAACTTGAACTTATTTCTCTTTTATTGGATCCTATGAATGTATTATAAGATGTTGATGAAAAATAACTTATTTTTATTTAATGTAGAATCCATAAAAATCTATTTGCTAGATGTGTGACTAGAGAATAATTTATATCTTCTTTAGCATTTCATAGAATCTATAAACTGAATTCAGAAAAGAAATAATTGTAATCTTAGCTGGATAGTAATTTTAAACATATGCCATTTTATGTTTAAGCTGGCATATACATGATGAATAAAGGCATGATTATGGGCAAGAAAGCAAAGAAGTTTACTTTAAATTGTGTTGAACATAAAAGAAGAGTCAAATCAAGTCAAAGAAACTTAAGAAGGAGAGAAATCCCTTCTATATTTTCAGTTTGTCTTTGGTTTAATTAATAGTTTTCATTATTCCAGAATTTTGCTTTTTGTACTTATTCCTAATATATTTTCTTATTTTTGTACAGATTTTGAATATTTATTTACTTTTTTTGTTGTAAAGAGAAATATGGGAAAGTTTAATTTTTTTATTGCATTTTGGGTTTTGGGGTACATGTGAAGAACATGCAAGATAGTTGCATAGGTACACACGTGGCAGTGTGATTTGCTGCCTTCGTCTCCTTCACCTATATATGGCATTTCTCCCCATGCTATCTCCCCAACTCCCCACCCCCTCTGTCCCTCCCCTATTTCCCCCCAACAGACCCCAGTGTGTAGTGCTCCCCTCCCTGTGTCCATGTGTTCTCATTGCTCAACAACTGCCTATGAGTGAGAACATGCAGTGTTTGATTTTCTGCTCTTGTGTCAGTTTGCTGAGAATGATGGTTTCCAGGTTCATCCATGTCCCTACAAAGGACACAGAAACTTTAATTGTTATAGATCAGGCAGCAATATAATGAAGCTCTCAAAATACGTTATAGACTCATTATGACCATAGTTGAAAAGGCAATGGCCTCTTATTTTCATCTTTTATTTCTAAATAAACTTGACACCAGGTTTTATGAAGGAGGGAAATAATTTCTTAACATTGTTAGAACTAAAATTTTTCTTTTTTTTTTTTATTGCATTTTAGGTTTTGGGGTACATGTGATGAACATGCAAGATTGTTGCATAGGTACACACATGGCAGTGTGCTTTGCTGCCTTCCGTCCCCTCACCTGTATCTGTCATTTCTCCCCATGCTATCTCTTCCCACCTCCCCACCCCCCGCCCCTCCCCCATTTCCCCCCAACGGACCCCAGTGTGTAGTGCTCCCCTCCCTGTGTCCATGTGTTCTCATTGTTCAACACCCGCCTATGAGCGAGAATATACGGTGTTTGATTTTCTGCTCTTGTGTCAGTTTGCTGAGAATGATGGTTTCCAGGTTCATCCATGTCCCTATAAAGGACGTGATAGGTTTTATCAACATTTCCCGTATTATACTCTTTAGAAGGCTTGTCAACATTATCTAAATGGGTCTTATAATGAGGAAAATATCTGTTGGCAAAGAAATGTGGAAAACAATCAACTTAAAAAACTGAGAGCATTTAATAGGACAATGAACCCTAAACTTTTTTAAAGTAGTGATAAAATTTGCAGCACTATCCATCTTAATAATTTTAAAATAGATGTTATTTTTCATTGAGCATTTCAGGAGAATTCTTAAAAAATCCTAGGTTAAATACAAAACCAAAAATCATAGTCAGGAATGAACAAGACAGATTTTGGAAAGGAACAGTTATATTTTTAATTCTTGTGGAACAAATTATTGAGGTGGTTTTCTTAGCCAATTCAATGTTTTGTCTGAGTAGAAGGTACGAAAAATCCTATAAAATAATCAATTAAGTAGCTTAATAAAAAAACAAAAATGTGAAAGGAAATAAAACATATTTGGGAAATATAAGAGGTAGAATTTCTAAGTGATCATTACTCTGAAGTACTGATGAAGTTTTGATGATATATCCAGAAGATTATCACTTATAAGATGCTTGAGGGAGCTTTTCACAAGATATAATGAGTAATGGCAAATAAAATACCATTTTCTTATAAGTTGAGTTTATGACTTCAAATTCCTATTTCTGTGTTTTTGGAAAACTGGATTTGGCAAAGTAACTTTGGGTTAGGATCATAAGGGTCCTCTTTTTCTGTTTCTGGGCTTGCCAGCTAAGGAAAACAGGGCTTGACTAAATGAGGTTGTCCATGAACACAAGAGAAAACGGAAAGCTGATATGTCCATTTCCACTCCAGCCCTCAGCAAGAGAAATGTTACCAAGCTACACCCATGGGCCTAATCTCCAAATGCAGTGACCCAACAAGTAGTACGCATGGTCCAATCAGTTGTCTTGGATTCTTCTTATAAGATGAGATTTGGAAAGAGGTAAGATTTAAAACGAAAAAGATTTTAAGGCCTTACTTGAAGTCTATCACTCTACATTGCCACAGGTTATTCATAATTAACAACAGCATTTAAAAATTCAAATAGTTTGGCTCTTAGTTATAGCTTGACTCTCTTGATGACAGTTACTATAACTGTCTCTGTAACACCATTGCGATCTCCATATTTTCTTCTATTAATCGATTTGGCTAGTGTCACTTAATATGTTTACAGAGTCAATTTGACTAACTTGTACAACATATTAAATTAACATTGCTATTTTCTTGATTGTTTTTAGAAAACTTGCTGAAACCATTTCTCTTCTAGCAAAAATAACTTGTAAATATCTGGAAGGTATTATTTTTAGATGTTATCAGTTATTTGTATATCATATATAAACAACTAATAAGCTGAATATAAGTCAGTATACATGTATGGGATACTCATAGGTCATCATTGTGTTTGGTGGTGAAAATACAGTTATAAATTTTCCTTAATGTCTGCCTGGGTAAAGCTGTGCAGTACAGTGGTAGAGATAAGCACATGAATATACACACTGCAGAACAGTAAATTCTGTAATTGGGGGATCCCCACGGTTCTAGTAAAACGGATTAAAGACGTCAAATTCAGTTTGAGTGTGGAAAAGGGGAGTATGGAATTCAGGTAAAGTTTCCTGAAAATAGATAATAATTGTGTTCAGATTTAAACAACAAAAAGGGTTATTCCAGAAGAAAAAGAAAGGGAATACTTAACACGGACCAGACGGTAAGTATGCGGCATGGATCGTCTGGGAAACTGTAAATGCTTGAGGCCTTCCAGATTGCACGTGGTGAGGAATATGAGAGCCCTGATATGAGACATCATTTAAAGGATATAAACAGAAAAATGGCAACACTAGACTAGTGCATTAGGTAGGTTACGAGTCATAACTTACTTTAATAATGTTCTGAATAAGATTCAAACTGGAGACGAACTGGCTAATTAAGTTAAAAAATGCTCAAAGTGAAAGTCAACCACATTTAGCAAGAACTAATATGGGAGAGTGAAGTTGAGGATGGAAAATAGTCTACCACAAAACCAAGATTTCTATTTGCTTATGTTAATTGTGGCATGAATTGCAGATGAAGTAGAGTGGTGCACAGCAGAACAAGGATGATGAAGACCCTGTTAAAGTGTTTCTGGAACATTCAGGTAGAGATAACAATTACGTATCTGACTGGAGCACTGAAGTACCAAGATTGAATTACATATTTGAGAATCATCAGACTAAAGATTTTACTTCAAACCGTAAGAGTACATGGAATTTTCTGCAGAGGATATATAAAATGAAAATAAAAAAGGTCTGATCAGAGAACCTAAGCTAAAATTATGCTCTATCAGGAGAATTAAATTATCTGGGAAGAATTTTAGCTGTGGACAGAAAATACAAGGTAGATAAATATCAAGAGAACAAGAACGCTGGACTGCCAAAGGAAGTTTCAAAACCAAAAAAGTCAGCAAAATGCTCAATGGTGACATAAAGTCTTAAAACCTTTAAGTTGAATTTTAAAGGGGTAGAGACATTTTTTAAGAGCAGCTTTAATGGAACAATAGTAATAAAAATAAATCATGTCAAGAATAAAGAGATGATGAGAAGGTAAAATGAAAAAATTTAAATTATTCATTTAAAAATCTTAAGAACAAATATAGATCTACAGCTAAAGAGGAGGTTACGATTATTCTGACAATCAGTAATTTCACTACATGTTATTTTCCATAATTCTGCTCTTTATCATTAATAACCTAGATTTGAAGAAAATGGATGCCATGCTGACATTACAAACTTGTTTTTGTTGTTGTTGTTATTCAAGCTGTGGGCCTAAGCTTGGAAAATGAATACACTTCCCAAAGCAATAATTGCACATATTTAAGAGAGCAATGCTTACATGACGCAAACGGATGTAAGCATGCTTGGAGAGTAATGGAAGATGCCTGCAGTGATTCAGGTAAGCAAGTTACTAAAAATACACTCAAATGATTTATTTTTATGAAAATAAAAATAAGATTTGATATTTTGTCATTCTCCTAGACTCTAAGGTTTTCTCTAAGTATCTTACTCAATCTTGACATCCAATCGATTCACTTTTAATTATGTATTAACAAATTTAATTACAAAATGATTTCTTAATTACTAACGGGCTTTAATTACTGATACTGAGAACAGTGTTATTCAAGATTTCAGATATTTTCTTACCTCTCTTACCATGTACAATGCTACAGTTTTATGCATGCTTCTCAGAATCATGACAGCATTTTTTCAAACGAAAGATTATTTTGACTATATGTCATGATAAAATAAAGAAAAAAAAAGTTGCTATAATAATAATTGTTATGTATTTGTCCATGTATAATGTACATTTTATATTCTTGAAACGTATATACAGTATTTTCAATTCTATGTCAAGAACAAGTAAAACTATGGTTTTGGTTTTTAACTTGTCCTACCTTACAAATGTTTGAGGGGACATTCAAGAGTTGAGAATGTGAAGATTGGAGAGTGACTGGTATTTTCTTAAAAAGAAATATATATATATATATATATATAATATTCAAATAGATAAATAAGCATTGAATGGGAGCATTTTAGTAAAACTCCTTTTATTAAAAGCAAATAGAATAAACTGACCATATGGTAGAGCATAGTTTATACAGTAGAACACTGTTATACAGTATAAGTTCAAAGGCATAACTTATTTGCTCAAAGTAACAACTTTAAGATGAGGACAGAGGATGACAAAAATAATTTATTTGCTTTTTTTTTCTTTTTTCTTTTTTTAATTGCATTTTAGGTTTTGGGGTACATGTGAAAAACATGCAAGATTGTTGCATAGGTACACACATGGCAGTGTGATTTGCTGCCTTCCTTCCCCTCACCTATATCTGTCATTTCTCCCCATGCTATCTCTCAGGCAGTTTAAAATATGTTGTCAAAGTATTATATTTAGTTGTCACAAATTGTAACTTATTTATTAATTTTAGCGTACAAACAGCAAGTTGTTTGCAGTAATATTTGCATAATTATTTTATATATAAAGCTGAAATATACATATTCTCAAAGGTACAACTGAAATAAACTCAAGTAGTTTTAGTCAGAATAACAAAAGAAAATTTTCAGGTAGAGGAATATGTATTTTTAAAAATGCAGAAAAATCAAATATTGATAATTATGAAAGACTAATTCACTTATTCAGTAATACTGAGTGCTATGTTGCAGGACCACATAATTTTTAATGATAAATTTAAAACCACCTGCACATCTCTTACTATAGTCTTTGAATGACATGAAAATAAAATATCGGATTAAGACAAAATAGCTGATAAAATAGATAAGCAGACAAAACGTTAAGATTAAAGTGCATTCTGGTCACGTAGGTTAGGAATAGCCTTATTTTTACGGAAAAGCAAGAAATGACATTCTAAGTAGGAACAAAGCTATTTTAAAATGCAGAAAATTTTAGTATAGAAAGTACATTATGGAAAATATTCAATGAAAATAGATGTTTTTCTTAAAAAGTCACTTATATGGATGTCCTAAAGTAACCCCAGATCATCTTACTATATTAATTATTCAGATTAATATGTTAAAAGTACTTTGGGGAGGAAGAATCCAAAATTATAATCAGATTAATATCTATAATGTTATGTTTTTGATTGTGAGATCCAGGTGACACCTGCAAGATGAGGAATTCATCATACTGTAACCTGAGTATCCAGTACTTAGTGGAAAGCAATTTCCAATTTAAAGAGTGTCTCTGCACTGGCGACTTCTCTTGTACTGTGAACAAACTGCTTGGAAAAAAATGTATCAATAAATCAGGTAATATTTTGTTATAAGAAATGTTTATGATCATGAAAAAGAAAGCCACAATTTCAAAATTAATATCTATGTAATCTGATTAATTTTTTTGTAATTTGATTAATTCATTGCAAAGTTTTATTATTTTTAGAATTTTGTTGGTACATAGTAGTTGTATATATTTGTGGGGTACATGAAGTTTTTTGATACAGTTTTTGATGTACCTCGGGATTTCGTGAGGCATTAGACCTCAGTAAATACATGACATATTTCTTAAATTGCTAACCACAGTTTAAGCTTCATTTGCGTCATTAGAATTATAGATTGACTCACACAGTTCTTATATTTCTGGGGTTTATTGTGCCTTTGCACAACACCTGGATGATATAAGACAAATAAGATATTATCTTTGTTGTTAAGGAACTGAGAGTCTCCCGGGAGGAATAAAATTTTAATTGCTAGAGTTACTTGCCTTTGCATAGGAACATTTAATCAGGCTAACACACTGGAGTAGTGGTGATCAGCTAGTCTGGACGTACCTTTGAGGGTACCACAAAGACATTCCAAGAGTTGTGCAAGATCAAACAGTCCTAAAGTGAACAGTTTTTAGTCTTTAATGTCCCTATGTACTCCGAAAAGTAATCAGCTGAGGAATGCACCTGTTATCATAGAGTCCTAATCTCTTCTTTTATAATCAACCCTCTCTCACTTTATAAGAGGTAGATTTACCTCTCATTTCCATGAAATCATATCATCGTCCAACCCATTTAATCATTCCTGGCGGGCTGATTAGACAGTTTTGTGTTCCATAATTTTGCCTTTTCCAGAATATCAACAATTGAAGTTACACAACATGTATCCAATTTAATTCAGTAGATTTTATCTAACATAATACATTGGAGATTCATTTATTTTTCTCATGCCCAAGTTGTTTTTTCTTGATGTGAGTATACCACAGATTGGTTATCCGTTCATTATTGAAAGTAAATTGCATTATTTCCAGGTTTTCAGGGATTAAAAAATAAGGCTGCTATAAATATTCACATACAAGACTCATACAAACATAAGTTTTATTTCACTTGGGTATGAAATTGTGGGGTCACATGGTAAGTATGTACTTAACGTTACCAAAAGCTTCTAAACTGTAATTCAAATTTAATGTAACCATCAATGTATAAAAGTTCCAGTTGCTTCATGTCCCCAATAGCACTATTTTTTGCCATTCTAATATATATTTAGTGGTATAACATTAAGGTTTTAATTTATACTTAATGTTAAGCATATTTTTATGTGCTATGTGCCATCTGTCTATCTTATTTGGTAAAATATTTTTTCAAACTTTTGCCCATTTTTAAATTGGTTTTGGTTATTGTGTGGAGTTTTGAGAGTTGTTTCTGTATGTTGAATAGATTTTTTTAATCTGAACATGTGCTTTTTTTTAGTCTGTGTCATTATTTCCTTGAGTGTCTTAAAAAACAGATTTTTAAAAAAAATTTGATGAAATTCAGTTTTTTTCATAGATCATACCTTTGATGTTGCATCTAATAAACATTTCACTAATTCACATTAACAAAGATTTTCTCATATGATCTCGAAATAATGTAGTTTTAGGTTTTATATTTAGGCCTATGTTACATTATAAGTTAATTTTTGTATACAGCACAAGATACAAGTCAGATATTTTTTCATGCAGATATCTAATTGTTCCATTCACATTTGTGGAAAATAATAACAGTTTTAGTTTTCTTAAAAGTCATTTGGCCATATATTGGTGGCTCTATTTCTAGACTTTATATTCCATTCCATTGAATTAATTCTGCCCTCTTGCAAATATTCTAGTCTTACTGTAGCTTCACAGAAAGTCTTGAAATCAAGTAGTGTGATTCCTTCAACTGTTATTTAAAAAATAATTTTGGCTATTCTATTTATTTGTCCTTTTAAAAATATTTACTTGTTTTTGTTGTTGTAGCTACTGTTTTTGAAAGAGGGCCTTGCTGTGGTACCCATGCTGGAGTTTAGTGGCCCGATCTTGACTCAGTGCAGCCTCTGCCTCCTGGATTCATGCAATTGTCATGCCAAAATCTTCTAAGTAGTTGGGATTATAGGGGGTCTGCCGCCATGCCAGACTGATTTTTGTGTTTTTAATAGAAACTGGCTTTCACCATGTTAGCCAGGCTGGTCTCTAACTCTTGGGCTCAGGTGATCTACCCACCTCAGTTTCCCAAAGTGCTGAGATTACAGGTATGAACCACCTGGCTGGTCCACTTTGCCTTTCCATAAAAAGTTTAGAATCAGCTTGTCAATGTCTGCAAAGAAATCCTGCTGACCTTTTAACTGGATTTACCTTGAAATTATAAACCAATTTACTATGTTGAGTGTTCAGATCCATTAATATGATATATTTCTCCATTTATTTATAACTTTATTGATTTAATTCATTGTCTTTAATATATAATTCTTGCACATTTATTTTAGGCTTCTACAAACACACTTCACTTTTTGGTGCTGTTGTAAATGGTAATTTATTTTACATCTTAACTCTCTGTTGATTATAGTGATTGTATAGAAATACAATTGACTTTTATACATGGACCTTACTCTATGACTGGCTAAATGCAACTATTAGTGTTTTGTTTTTGTTTTTGTTTTTTGGGTTTTTTTGGTAGAATCTGCAGGAAATTCTACAGAAGTAGTCTTGTCATCTACAATAGAATTTCGTTTTTCCCTTTGCAATCTGTAGTCTTTCTCTTTCATTTATTTTCCTTGCTTTATTACCCTGACTAGAGCTTTCAGTATATTAAATAGAATTGTTAAAAGTGGGTATCCTGCCTTTTCTCCTGTTTTGGGAAAAAGACATTCAGTTTTTTACCATAAAGTGAGAGAGAGAGAGAGAGAGAGAGAGAGTGTGTGCGTGTGTGTGCGTGTGTGTGTGTGCGTGTGCGTGTGTGTGCGCGTGCGTGCGTGTGTGTGCGCGTGTGTGTGTGCGCGCGCGCGCGTGTGTGTGTGTGCATGTGTGTGCGCGTGTGTGTGTATGTGTGTGTGTGTGTGTGTGTTCCTTGCAGGTTCTCTTTATCAGGTTGAGGAAATTCCTTTATATTTCTTTTATATTTCTGGTTTTCTTTGTTTTTACCATCATAAATGGATAAATAAATGCTGAATTCTGCAAATGCTTTTTTTCCTTTATTACTGTTAATTACTTCAAACATTCATCTTTTCTTTTTGTTGGGAATATTCCAATATTTCTGGCTATTTCAAAATATATAGTAAATTAGTGTTAACTATAGTCTCTCTGCTGCACTGTCAAGTACTGGAACTTATTCCTTCTTTGTCACTGTGGATTTGTATCCATTAACCAACTTCTCCAGTTCTCCTCCCCCATGTCCCGCCAAGCCTGATCACATTTTTTTCCTTTAGTTTTTTATATGGTGAAATTTATTATTTGATTTTTGACTGCTGTTCTAGCCCTTCAATTCAAGGCTAAATGCTGTTCAATCATGGTGTATTATTCATTCTGTTTTTCTGGATTCAAATGCTAATATTTTGTTTAAATAACTATGCTCATGAAATATATTGGCATGTTGATTTGTTTTCTTATAATGTCTTTGTGTGGTTTGGTATCTAAATTATGCTGACCTTGTAAAATGAATTGGGAAGGATGTCTTCTTGTTTAGTATTCTGGAAAAGTATAAAAAGAATTGGTATTATTCCTTCCTTACATGATTGATTTCATTAGCCAAAAAGATATCTGGCACATGCTTCATTAAAAGGTTTGAAAATGTAAATTCAATGTGTTCACTTGTTGTAAGACTATTCTTGCTATCTATTCATGGGTGAGCTTTGGTAGTTTGTGTCTTTCATCTGCTGAATTTATTTTGGATTTTTATTCTTTAAGTTTTCAATTCACTCTTTCTTTTTGGCTTCTATCTCTCAACAAAGTTGCTGCTAGTATTTCCTAATTGTGCTTTTTAATGTCTGTAGCAGTTGCAGTGATGTCCTTTTTATGTTTAGATATTGATAATTTGTATCTTTCCAATTTTGCTATTTACTGTTTCCTTGTGTGTATGTCTGATTTGATTTTAAGGTGCTCCCCATTTTCTTGCCTTTTAACCTAAAACCTTGAACCACTGATTTGAGATTTTATTCTTTCCTCATATAAGCATTTAACACTATGAATTTCCTTCCAAGTACTGATTTAGCTATAGCCACATATTTTGATATATTGTTTTAATTTCTATTTATGTCAAAATACTTTCTTCTCTTCCCTGCAACCTCCTTCTCCTGGGCTCAAGCTATTCCCCTGCCTCAGTCTCCCAAGTAACTGGGATTACAGGTGCACACCACCATGCCAAGCTGATTTGGTATATTTAGAAGAGACAGGGCTTTGCTATGTTGGCCAGGCTGGTCTTGAACTCCTGACCTCTGATGATCCACTTTCGTCAGCTTTCCAAAATGCTGGGATTACAGGCATGAGCCACTATGCCCAGGCAGAAGGTTATTTAATTTCCTAATATCTGACATTTATCAGCTATTTTCATTATTGATTTCTGATTTAATTTCAGTATCATCATATAACATATTTTGCATGATCTCAATTGTTAATTAAAATAATGGCCAAATATCACCTATACAATGTGATACATGGTATAGTCATCTGTAAGGATACACACATGCACACCATAAACACAATGTCACTTATATGATGTGATAAATGCTATACACATGATAAGGATACACACACACGCGCGCACACACACACACACACACACACACACACACACACACAGTACTAAAAGCCATAGAGTATGAAATAATGGTGACTCAGAAGACTTCACAGAATTGTCAGACTAGGGCCTTTTAGGGTAGGTTAGGTTTCATTAGGGAGACAAAATAAAATGGGTATTTTAAACAGAAGAAATAGAAAGAAAAGGCGAACATTTGGGGAGCAACAAATCCCTTGTTAAGCTGGCTAGCAGAATGGAAAAGTATTTGATAACCCTTGGGAAAAAAAAAAGATATTTATGAAAAGAAGGAAAACTGAACTTACATATCTTTGTAAAGAGATTAGACTTCAAACTGTTGTTAGAGGATCTGTTACATATTTTAAATAGGGGAATATATCATCAGTTTCTCAAAAGATATTACAGGCAGTAAGGTAGGAATGCAGAGGGTGGACAGACAAAGATGTAGGTCAGGAATACCAGTTAAAAGCCATCAAAATAATTTGAGATAGAGGCGATGCATGCCTGAACTAACACACTGTTCCTGAAAATTATAATAAAACTCCTGGTATATTTATAAATAATACTCAATAGGAATTGGTGGCCAGTTGGATATAAGGAGTTTAAATGTATTAAGCATAATCTCCAGGTGGCTAGCCTGGGACAAGGGGATTGCTATACACTGAGCCAAGAAATGAAAACTTGTACAGGACTGTGGACAAAAGTGATGAGTTGTATTCTGAAAACATTGCATTTGAGGCATGCTTTAGAATAGTAGAGTCAGGAATATTAGTATTTTTTTTTCTAACTTTGCAATGATTAAAAAAAAGTCTAAAAAATGTAAAGGAACATGGCTCATCAAGCTGGCATTGGGAAGCAGAGCTCTTGAGGAGAGAAATCTGAAATAGAGATACAGAAGTTTATAAGTAGATACAAAACATAAAGGAGAATAAGCCTGTCTAGGAAAAAACACAAAGGGAGGAGAAAAATATTTTCAGAACAGTTTTAGGAACTAGTTGAAGAAGCCAAAAAGAAGTTTTTAAAGACAGGACAAGAAACTATAAAGAGTGGAATCTTTGGTGCCAGTGAAAGAGAGGACCTCATTTAACCTAAAGACACACCACACAACTGTACGTGGGGAATTACAGCTTCGACATATGAATTTAGGGAGTATGGGACAAACATTCATCCACAACAGTGAGTGAAGCTGCTGTTTACTTATGCCTATAGAGTAGTTTCTTGAATGTATTTTAGTCAGCGGCACAGCCTTACTGATCAGACCCAATTCAGAGGTATAAATCCATAAAAAATGTTCAGCGTAGACTTTTGTACTTGTTACAAAAGCTATACAATTTACTGGGATCTGCTTACTGGGATTTTATTAAATATGGAATAGTAGCACAGAAGTAGGAACCTCCAGATCTTCCTCAGAGAGATAGGATGATGGGTGGCATCAAGAAGAGTGATTCTCAAGCTGAGGCTTGATCAGTTAACCACATGAAAAACAATGCCTAGTGAGAATAACTTGGACAACGTAAGGAGTCTGGAAGGCCATGACACACCTGGGGGCAGAAGTAAGTTTCTTGTGATAGTATCATCTTATATGTGCACTAGACTAGTAGGATAGGTAATATGAACAAACAGCTCAGATTAGTACACAATCATGAAGGGACATTTATGCCATAACAAAAGTTAATATCTTAATATACAATGAAAACATAATAATTTTCCCTCTACAATGAAAATCATTTTATCTGATTCCCTTGTCACTGTATGGATACATTAATGTTCCCTCTGTTTTCTTTTAGCTTAATTTTATGTCTGTATTTCCTTCTAGGCTATGAGCTGCTTGATGACAGGGACTGCAGATTTGCAACCTCAGTTTGTCACCTGGTACATAGTAGGGAACCAACCAATGTTTCTTTAAAGATCTTGAAATTAGATGAACACTGAGTTCATTTCCACTGATGAAATTTTCTAATACTCTAATTTTAATTTCTAAGAACTCTTGGAGGGTAAGATAATCAGAGATGGGATTGATTTTAAAACTGTATTCAAACTAATTCAAACTACCTTACTTACGAGGGTTTTTATGTTGGCGGGGGTGGGAGATGGTGCTCAGAAAATATTCCTTCTGTTTTTTTCTCCCCAGTCAGTGTCCACTGTTTGTTTACTCTGTGCACACCGTCTAGTCACCAGCATTTGTTTAAGTCTTGAAGTAACTGAATCCTCAGAGTAGGGATGTTTAGCTCACTTGAATGATATTTCAGAGGCTTATTTTCTTCATCTATACCATACTAATTTTGAATAACAAGGGTTAAATGTTAGATAACCTTATATGTACTTATGCTTGAATATATCTGGGCTTTATTCATTTATAAACGTAGCCCACATTTTCCTAGGAAATTTAGAAAGTTGTTCAATAATGAAATAGTTTCTTCATTTTCCTTCTAGATAACATGAAAGAGGATAAATTCAAATGGAATCTAACTACACCTTCCCATCATGGTAATATTTATATGTTATTATTTTGATCGGCATTGCAAATAATTGACAATATAATTTAAAATGCAGTTACCAGGCTTCTTAAAGATACGTTAATACAAAATAAATTATGTGGTTTAACAGTTCTAATATAATAAAATGCAACAAAATCATTTCATTTCTTCTGCTAATGATGATATCAAAGCATTTACTTTGCCCATTCATTATCAATTTATAGATGTGCTAAGAAATACTTAATAATTAAAACCAAATAGTAGGTTGGGCGTGGTGGCTCACACCTGCAGTCCTAGCATTTTGAGAAGCTGAGGTAGGTGGATCCTTTGAGCCCAGAAGTTTTAGACCAGCCTGGGAAACATGGCAAAACTCTGTCTCTACAAAAACAAAAGCAAAAACAAAAATAAAAACTTAGCTGGGCATGGGGGCATGTGTGCCTGTGATCCCAGCTCATTGGGAGGCCGAGGCAGGAGGATCACTTGAGCCAATGAGATGGAAGTTGCTGTGAGCTGAGATCATGCCACTCTACAATAAGGCCTTGTCTCAAAAAAACAAACGAAAGCCCAAATACTAGATATTGATTACATTTCATGGATATTTGTGATCATATAAATTATTTGGCACCAACTGTTTTGTGCATACTTGTGTATATGTAGAAATATGAACATTTATATATGCTAGAATAACTGTGTGGAGCCTCTATTCAAGATTCCCCTCACAAAAATGTACAGCAGAACAAGAATCATTTTGCCTTGAGCCAATGAGCTAACCATAAGCTATATAGTTCAAATGCAGTATCTGAAGATTTATTGTTTACATTTGAAAACCTTGGACTATAAGATTTTTTCTTCAGCTCACTTTTGGCCCTACACACTTCCCATTACTCTGGATCACAATATCCCATATAGATGAAAGATGATTCCAATAAGTCTACTATTTCTCAGTAAATTTATACTTGTTCTAAAAAATGTAATGTTTGCCAAAAATAGGACATTGGTACATCATTGTATTTTGCTCATAGACTTCTCACAGTGTTTTATAGATTCTGTATGTACAGCTTTGTATTTATTTTTCCACAACATGGGCATATCATTGCTTTCAGGATTCAGAAGGATATGGTCCTGTTTGGAAGTGGCAGAGGCATGTGTAGGGGATGTGGTCTGTAATGCACAGTTGGCCTCTTACCTTAAAGCTTGCTCAGCAAATGGAAATCTGTGTGATGTGAAACATTGCCAAGCAGCCATACGGTTCTTCTATCAAAATATACCTTTTAACATCGCCCAGATGTTGGCTTTTTGTGACTGTACTCAGTCTGATATACCTTGTCAGCAGTCCAAAGAAGCTCTTCACAGCAAGCCATGTGCAATGAACATGGTTCCACCCCCTACTTGCCTCAGTGTAATTCACAGCTGTCAAAATGATGAATTATGCAGGTGGGTAAAAACACTCATACCTTACTTTCTTATTTTGGCACCTTATTTGTTACAGTCTAGTCCTAACACTTGATCTCATTACATTAGCTAGAGTTCCCACCATGGTCCGATACAGTGTAAATAAAGCCAGACAATTCATATTTTTTTTGAATCTGTGGCGTATGTGCAGTATTGTCTTTGAAATTCAAATCAGAATGGATTTTTGAAATAAAAAATTTCATATGTCAAAGTGTGGTAGCCATGACATGGTATTATAAAAATTACATATTCAAGTTAGACTAATGAATTGGTTAATATATCTGACTTATATATCAGCTTTTTAAATTGTTTTTTGTTGTTGTTGTTTAATTACATACAGCTTTTATAAATCTTATTATTTTGGCAAGGAGACCATTCAAACTTCAAAATAAATTCTTTCTGTCTCAGGCTGGAGAACAGGAAGAAGAAGGTAGCTTAAATACTCACAAGAGTGGTGCAAGGTCAGAGATAATCAGGTCCACACATAGTTGTATCTTTTCACAATGTTAGGCTTTAATTAATACCGTTCGATCACAAAAGCCACAAGCTACATGGAGTTCCCAAAGAGGCAGTCTCCTTAGTACTTCTCATTCACTTTGTCATCAGAGCCATAGGCACACAGGCTCAAGCCACCTCACAAATCAGTCGATATGGCAAACCGTACATAATAATATAGTTAATCAATATGTAAGTGTTATAGGTGAAACATTCCACAACAAAGTAACATTTAACATTAAAAGAAAAGGGACAGAGAAGATGGTTAATGAACAAGTCCAGGCAGAGTGACAAAAACAAAAAGATTCTTCTAGTCTTATCTGGGCTGTCCATTGATCTTGCAAGGAAGAGTCTTTGATGTAGGCAGAATCCTTGGCAGTAGATGCTGGGTGCTTATCATGAGCAATGGCAAGGCAGTGTCAGGTAAGATGGCCATTTTGAGCTGCTGAAGTCCTACTCTCTTTATGGCCAGAGTCCTCTTGGGAGGACAGATAGTGGAAGAGTATGCTTGTTTATATCCTTATCTAGTTGGATGTCATCTAGTTTATTTAGCAAAACATTTTGTTCCTGTTGGAAAAGCACCCTATGAAATGTAAGATGGAGTCTTTTTTGGAATTACTTATGTCAAGGATGCTCTATACAAGTGTGGTTTGGACATCCCTAGCACACATGTATACCATGATTGTAGAAATGTACTCATTCTCCTCTTTCCAATCTCACACCTCTGATTCCTGGGGGAGTAATGTTAGTCATTTATTTATTAATTCAAAAAAAGATAATCACGCACATACTACTACTCTAGGCAATGGTGAGTAAGAGAAACAAATGCATATGGATCTTATAGTCCAGGGAGAAGACAGATACTAAATTTAAAAAATGTATATGTTGTTTTAAGGCAATGAGTGCTCTGGAGTTTAAAAAAGAACAGAATAAAAGGGATTGCGAATGGGCTCAAAGAGTTGGAGGGTAAATGGGATGGTCCTCACGGGAAGCATTTTACCATACTTGAAGTGAGAAAATGGGCCTCTCTCAGTAGATAATCTGAGAGAAAAGTTACTAAGCAAACTGACTAGCCAGTGCTGAGGAAAACATATACATGTCATGTCAGAAAAGCAGTGAGGGTAGAATGTGCAAAAGGGAAAGAAAGAGGATGAGGTGAGAGATTTAACTGAGTGGGTGCAAACAAGCCTGTATCATATAAGGGCTTGTGGGACACTACCTAGGACTTCAGACATGTAGGTGGCTCAGTGTGTGATTTGTCCTGTTTGTCTCCTTGTTTCAACCACTGGCAAAAGAGAAAAAAGTAGTGACATCAGCTTCCTGAACGTTTTTAGTAATATTCTTTCTTTTAGCTTTTTAACTATGTCTGCTCTCATTCTCAGTCACTCTAACTTGCAAATTAGTTCCAGATCTTTTAAACAGTTTTTAAAAAGAACTGCTTCCTTATAGCACACATTCTATGAAATTAGTGATAAGGAGCTAAGCAGAGTCCTAGAGCATCAACCTATCTCTTCAACTCATCACATAGGATACCAAAGTTCTTAAAATTTTATTCAAGAATTTTTCATTCAAATGTGTGTTAGTTATTTTAAGGCTTATTATTTTTCTTGAGTGAATAATAAAGGCAGTGAAAAATTTTATAATGCAACTTAAGTTTTTCAAACTCATTTATCATCTCAAAAATCCTTATTAGATGTGATTTCTTTTTACTTATTTTAACATCCCTAACATATTTGAAATAAAAAAAAAATATGACAAAGACATTTGCCATAATTTAAATCCCAACAGGTGGGGTTTTTTGTTATTGTACATAAAATAATGGTATCACTTAAAATAAATAAAATATGTTAAACATACTTGATTGCACTACTTTTCTCACATCAAATGAACTAAAACTATTACTATTCTGCCTTTCTAACTATCACATTCCTACATCAACAAACCTAATAATATATTAACTAGCCGGGGCCAGAGGATACCATTGTTTCAATAGCTATCACTATAAAAATATCAGATTTATTCACAGGTGGGTACCCTACTTTGCCTGATTCCAGTGCCAGGGCTTTATATATCATATCTAGTTATCTGGAAGCTGTTAGCATTCAACTTTCAAAGCATGCTGTTTCTGAGTATACACATCAAAGAAAATATTTTAATAGCAAGTGATGGCTCTGCTTCTACAGTCCTTGAGAATTCCTGTGATAGACTCTGAACCACACACTCTTACACTAACCTCCCCTTGGTATCAACACCTTCTCAGATGAACTGACATAGAGTTCATAATTTTCCCCCACAAAGACTCCCAGGTTTAACCACCTTTTCAAAATATTTGGTGTGGGGTCTGGAATGGGATAAGCATTCAAAAAATGTCATCTCCCTTCCTCTCACTTTTGAATATTGTACACTTAATTTTTATATTGTAAGATACATGTACATGTTTTCTCACATGTAATTTCTTTCTTAGATTTGTTCAAGAGTAAGGACTGTGTGTCTTCAATTTCCTTTCACTATGTGCAAATAGTCCCTTAATGAGTACTTTACAGAGGTGACAGAAATGTTATATAATATTAGTAGTCAATGTGAAAAGACAAATCCTATCATTTTTCCAAGCAAATTTTGCCTCGGGGAGATTTCTAGCATTTATATTAAATTATTGCTAATGTAATTCAGATGAAAAACATATATCCAAGTAGAAAACCACTTCTTCGATGAGAATAGTAAGCCCTTTATGATAATTTTTTGCAGAAGAGCCTGTATGTAGGCAAAGCAGGGCACTTCAGTTTTAAAAAATAATTTGTCCCTGTTCCAGATTTTCCAATTCATGATGGAATTTGAAATTCCTTTATTTTTTAAAAGCCAAAGAGGACAATTTAAGAGCCATTTCTCAATTAATTTTCTCTAGAACAGATACCCTCTCGGAGGTGAGATTATGTCTTGCCAATTTCACAAAAGCTTGGGTATTTACAGAAAATTATAATACATGATATTTTGATATTACTCAAAAAAGTAATAATAAGGTATTTGCTTGGAAAATATTCTAAATACTTTTAAAAAGTATGTATTCTTTATTTAAAACAGGTGGCATCATATTATATACTTCTCTGTACATTATTTTTGTCACTTTTCCCTAAATGTGCATTAAAGATCCTTCCATAATTGCACATAAGAAAATTCACACATTGGGGCCTGTTAGGGGTAGGGGATAAGGGGTGGGAACTCAGAGAATGGGTCAAAGGTTGTAGCAAACAACCATAGCTCACGTGTACCTGTGTAGTAAACATGCACGTTCTGCACATGTATCCCATTTTTTTTAGAAGAAATAAAACTCTCAAATTTTTGAATGGCTGTATAGTATCCCATTGCATGGATGTAGCTTAGTTAATTTGCTTAGTCTCTTTTGGACATTTAGACATACTCTAAGTATCTCAGTTTATTGGTAGCTATTGCAAATGGGACTACTTTCAAGATTTGCTTTTCAGATTGTTTGCTGTTAGCATATAGAAATGCTACTGATTTTTATGTCTTGTGATTTTATGTCTTGTAATTTTACTGAATTTGTTGATCAGTTCTAAGTGTTATTTGGCGGAGTCTTTGGGTCTTTTCAAATATAAAACTATATAATTTGCAAACAAGGATAATTTTTCTGCTTTCCTAATTTGGGGTGCCCCTCCCCCCTCTTTTTCTTTGTCTAATTGCTCAGCTAGGACTTCCAGTACTACGTTGAATAACAGTGATGGAAGTAGGCATCCTTGTCTCATCACATATCTTAGACAAAAAGCTTTCAATTTTTCCCCCTTCCATATGATACTAGCTATGGGTCTAGTCTGTCATATGTGGCATTTATTCTGTTGAGGTATATTCTTCCTATATCCAGGTTTTGAGGGTTTTATCATGAAGGCATGTAGAACATTATCAAATGTTTTTTCAGCATCAATCGAAAAGATCATTAGTTTTTGACCTTCATTTTGTTGATATGTTGTATCAAATTGATTGATTTGCATGTTGAACCATCCTTGTATCACTAGGATAAATCCCACTTTTTCATGATGAAAAAATTTTAATGTGTTGTTGAATTTGTTTTGCTAGGATTTTGTTGAGGATTTTTGCATTAATGTTCTTCGGGAAAATTGGCTTATAGTTTATTTTTCTTGATATGTCTTGTCTGGTTTTGGTATAAGGGTGATACTGGCCTCGTAGAATGAGTTTGGAAGTATTCTTTCCTCTATTTTTGGAAATATTTTGAGTAGAATTGGTAGGCTGCTCTAAATTTTTGGTAAAATTTAGCATCAAGTCCTAGGTTTTCTCTTGCTGGGAGACTTTTTTTCATAGCTTTTATCTTAGTACTTGTTACTGGTCTGTTCAGGATTTGGATTTCTTCATAGTTCAATCTTGGTAGGCTGTATGTGTCTAAAAATTTATTTACGTACTTTAGATTTTCTGATGCATTGGCATATATTTGCTCATAGTAATCTCTAATGATCCTTTAAATATTTGTGCTATCAGTTGTAATGTTTCCTGTTAAATATCTGATTTTTTATTTAGATCTTCTGTCTCTTTTTATTAGTCTGGCTGATGATTTGGAGACTTTATCTTTCCAGAAGACCAAATTTTCATTTTGTTAATCTTCTATAATTTTTTTATTTCCCTTTTATTTATTCTCTGATATTTATTCATATTTATTTTCTACTATTTTGGGTTCAGTTTGCTCTTGATTTTCTAGTTCTTTACGATGCATTGCTAGGTTGTTAATTTGAAGTTTTTCTTTTCTTTTTTGTATTCTTCTTTTCTTTCTTTCTTTCTATATATATATATATATATATATATATATATATATATATATATATATACATACATACATACAGCGTCTCACTCATCACCAGGCTGGAGGGCAGTGATATGATATCGGCTCACTGTAATCTCTAACTCCCTGGTTCAAGTGATTCTCCTGCTTCAGCCTCCAGAGTAGCTGGGATTACAGGCACGTCCCACCACACCCAGCTCATTTTTGTATTTTTAGTAGAGATGGGGTTTCACCATGTTGGCCAGGATAGTCTTGATCTCCTGACCTCATGATCTGCCTGCCTTGGCCTCCCAAAGTGCTGGGATTACAAGCATGAGCCACTGCACCCAGCCTGAAGTTATTCTACTTTTCTCATGTAAGTGATTATTGCTATAAACTTTCCTCTTAATACTGCTTTTGCCATATCCCATAGGTTTTGGTATGTTGTGCTTCCATTTTCATTGCTTTAGTAAACTTCTAAATTTTACTCTTAATTTCTTCATTGGCACACTGATAAATCAGGAGCATATTGTTTAATTTCCATGTATTTGCATAGTGTTCAAAGTTTCTCTTACTATTGATTTCTAGTTTTATTCCATTGTCATCAGAGAAAATACTTGATGTGATTTCAATTATTTTGAAATTTTTAAGACTTGCTCTGTGAGCTAACATATGGGTTATCGTTGAGAATGATCTACATGCTGAAGAGAATAATGTATATTCTTCAACTATTGTGTGAAATGTCCTGTAAATATCTAAAGGTCCATTTTATCTGTAGTGCAGATTAAGCCTGATATTTCTTTGCTGATTTTCTGTCTAGATGATCTGTCCATTGCTGAAAGTGAGATATTGAAGTCTCTCTCTTTAGCTCTAATACCGTTTGCTTTACATGTCTAGGTACTGCAGTGTTTGTTGCATATATATTTACAATTGTTATATCCTCTTGCTGAATTGAACTTTTTGTCATTATATAATTACGTTCTTTGTCTCTTTTTATAGTTTTTGTCTTAAAATCTATTTTGTCTGAAAAAAAGTGCAGCTACTCCTGCTTTTTTTTTTTGTTTCCATTGGCATAGAACATCTTTTTGCATCCTTTTATTTTCACTCTATGTGTTTCTTTACAAATGATGTCTGCTTCTTAGAGTTAACAGATCATTGGCTTTTAAAATTTTTAATTCATTTAATCCATTCAGTCATACTATGTCTTTTATCTGGAGAATTTCATCCATTACATTTCAAATGATTTTGGTATCCAGTGTACCAAAGTAATACTTTTTAAATTAAATATTGTTTAGTTATCATTTTGGCAATATTTCATGGTTAATTTTCTGAGTGAAAATTTACCTACTTGTCTGTAAGTAGCTAAATTATGCAATTTAAACTTAGTAAAACACATATTTAAAATGAATAAATAGCATATAGGTACAGATATATTCTCTATCTAAATGATAGTCAAACTTCTGAAAGTTATATTTAGAAGATATCTTATATGTAACCTTTAACTGCATTGAAGGAATATGTTTGTTCTTCTAGCCTAAAAAATATATGTTCAGAAAATTTGTAGTATTTCCTTAATTATAAATTTAATATGCATTAATTAAAGTTTATTATTATATTAAAAAGCTTGTACTCTGAGATGAATTAAATATTTAATTATGAAAAACAATGCAACTTTGGTTTTTTAACATAGTAGCACCCAGGTGGACAAATAACCTCATGAAAGTGTCATATACTCATAGAGCTTTCATACATGTTTGGTGGCATCCTACTCAAGAAAGATTAAAAGGCAATTTTAGGTAACAAATATTAAATTGAAAGATTATTATTCTTGCATCCGTTAATAAAAATGTATTCTTATTGTTAAAAATTCAAAAATGAAATTAGTGTACATTATCCAGACTTTCATTCACTGTTATTACAGGAATAATCAAATACATAGAAAACTAATACCTCACAACATATTGTAAATTTTAATTAGTCTGCTTAGTCTGTTGAGAAAGTGTAAAGCCCCTCCCATCCTGTGAGATAACTGACTTGAAAGGTCAAGTAACTTGTTGGAAATCACTTGGTGTGAGACAGTGGCCAAAGACAAGCCACAGAACTGTATTCGGCACAAAAAATTGCCAATAATCTCTGAAGTAGTTCATACCTCATCATCGTACATGGAATAAAATTACTCATAAAGGAAAATCCATCCAGGGAATCCTCAACTTAGCCTCTGTCTTTCATCACACACACAAAAAGACAATAATTCACAAAATTACAATTTCTCCCATACTCCCTGTGGGAACTTTACAAATTATAAATTTACTTTTCAACTACCTACTAGCATCTCAAAGGCACTGTGTTTTATGTCATTCATTAGGTGATAGGGGATCACATGTTAATGCGAAATAATATTATTTGAAATTTAATTATTTTGCTTCATTCTTTCTCTAGGAAGGCACTATAGAACATTTCAGTCAAAATGCTGGCAGCGTGTGACTAGAAAGTGCCATGAAGATGAGAATTGCATTAGTGCCTTGAGCAAACAGGACCTCACTTGTTCAGGAAATGATGACTGCAAAGCTGCTTACATAGATATCCTTGGGACAATCCTTCAAGTGCAATGTACCTGTAGGGCCATTACACCAAATGAGGAATCTGTGTGCAAGATTTTCCAGCACATGCTTCATAGAAAATCGTGTTTCAGTAAGTTCCCCAAACAAAATTCTCTATCTGTATATATTTTGTTTTTGCATATACAGTACAAAGTGATAATCCAGCACAGAAAATTTATTTACAAAGATATTTTTGTGTTTCTTACTGCATTTGAAAATTTGCTTTCTAATTATGTTCTGTGTATTTGCTATTTTACTCACCTGAAAACAGTCCATTTTTAAAATTTATGATAGATCACTCTTAGTTATCATTTATTGATTTCAGTGTCAAAGCATAGAATGTTTACTCTATCAGATAAATTGATATATTAAGTATCTGTTGCTACATAACAAACCACAAGTATCTATACTTGTTATAAAACAATGGTTTAAAACAATAACCATTTATTTTATCACATTTCTACATACTGGGTTTTGCTCAGCTGATTGGCTCTTCTGGTGGTCTTTTCACTCGTGCCTATCGTCATCTGGTACCTATATACTCTGCGGAGCCTGTTTGGTCCGAGATGGTATTAGCAGACACCATTTGCTGGGATGGTGTGATTCTCTTCCATATGACATCTTCAGCAGTATAGCCGAAAACTCTTACATGGCAGCAGAAGACTTCCTAATGGCTCAACCCCATTATGCAGCTATCTAGTATCTGCTACTCTTACATTTGTAAATATTTCACTGGACAAAGCAAATCACAATGGTGAACCTCAGAGTCACTGTGGGAAAGGACTACATAAGGATATGAATATTGAAGGTTAGATTAATCATGAATCGTTACTCTAACAACCTACTATAATTGGAGGTCCTTACCTACGTATAGTATGTTCAGTCTTCAATTTAGTTTTTCTCCCCATGGTCTTTAACATATCTGCTGATCAACCTATAATGTGAGATGGAAAACATATTTTCCAAAGTTATTATTTAATTTAGGGACAAGAAAATTGATACTTAGGAAATTAAATAATTTGTTCCGCATCTCAAAGTGAGCAAATGGTCAAAAGGGACCTTTCTGAGTCTTAAGGAAAAAACCTAAAGATGTGATCATGTACTAATTCAAGACCTCTCTTATTATCCATCTTCAGGGTTAGACCATGCAACCATCTATGTCCCCAAACTTCCACAGCCCCTTACCTCCTAGGTCCCTAGTTGTAATTACCATATCTGCAGGTACTGTTTTTAGAAGGAAATAATGGATCTTCACTGTTTCTTAGCAAACAAAATCTTTATATTTATTGAAAGTGTTTGACAGATATATATCTATACCTACATCTGTATTTATATCTATATACATATATATACTGCATATATGTATACAAATATGCATTTATACATTTATATTTCTGTTTTTCTTTACAGATACTTAGAGATGTACATTACCTAATTCGATAAAATTATGATTTGTTGTATGTTAGGTAATAGACACACAACTCAGAGTGTATGGTTTTGATTTCAACAGTGTTTTCTGCAGAATATTCACCACAATTTCTATAATTAGCACTACAGATATATTTCAGCTGAAATCATAATACAGAGAAGAACTGCAGTGTTGTATAAGTCATAGTCTCTAATTTTCCTCTCTTATTAATATTAGTTCTATTGAAACTGAAAGTATTTACAATGAATGGCTCATAAGATTACAGCAGGAAAATATCAAGTAACTGATTTGGTATTAACCAAATTAAACTTATAGTAATATATACTGTTACGTAATAATGGTTATTTATAGGCTCTTTCTCTATATTAAGTTGTATGAAGAAGCATGTTGACTCTTAGGTTATTAATGACTCAGTTTATTTGGTAAAAATTCTCTAAAAATACAGGTCTAAACATTCTAGTTCTAAACCTGTTTTCTCAAACATAATTACAATTGTGTTAAATTTTCATACTGTTTGGGTACTATAACATTTTCAGCAAATAGAGACAATTTGATTTCCTCCTTTCCAATTTGAATACCCTTTATTTCTTTTTATTGCCTGATTGCTCTGGCTAGAACTTCCAGTACTATATTGAATAGGAGTGGTGAGAGAGGGCATTCTTGTCTAGTTCCAGATTTCAAAGGGAATGCTTCCAGATTTTGCCCATTTAGTATGATATTGGCTGATGGTTTGTCTTAAATAGCTTTTATTATTTTGAGATACGTTCCGTCAATACCTAGTTTATTGAGGGTTTTTAGCATAAAGGGCTGTTGAATTTTGTCAAAGGCCTTCTCTGCATCAATTGAGATAATCATGTGGTTTTTGTCTTTGGTTCTGTTTATGTGGTGAATTATGTTTATGGACTTGCGTATGTTGAACCAGCCTTGCATCCCTGGGATGAATCCTACTTGATCATGGTGGATGAGCTTTTTGATATGCTGTTGCAATCAGCTTGCCAGTATTTTATTGAAGATTTCTGCATCTATGTTCATCATGGATATTGGCCTGAAGTTTTCTTTTCTTGTTGAGTCTCTGCCGGGTTTTGGTATCAGGATGATGTTTGTCTCATAAAATGATTTGGGAAGGATTCCCTCTTTTTGGATTGTCTGGAATAGTTTCAGAAGGCATGGTACCAGCTCCTCTTTGTGTGTCTGGTGGAATTCGGCTGTGAACCCATCTGGACCTGGGCTTTTTTTGGGTGGTAGGCTCTTAATTGCTGCCTCGACTTCAGACCTTGTTATTGGTCTATTCATGGTTTCGGCATCTTCTGGGTTTAGGCTTGGGAGGATGCGAGTGTCCAGGAATTTATCCATTTCTTCCAGGTTTACTAGTTTATGTGCATAGACTTGTGTGTAATAATCGCTTATGATGGTTTGGATTTCTGTGGAATCTGTGGTGATATCCCGTTTATCATTTTTTATTGCATCAATTTGGTTATTCTCTCTTTTCTTTTTTATTAATCTGGCTGGTGGTCTGTCTATTTTGTTGATCTTTTCGAAAAACCAGCTCCTGGATTTATTGATTTTTTGAAGAGTTTTTTGTGTCTCTATTTCCTTCAGTTCTGCTCTGATCTGGATGAACCTGGAAACCATCATTCTCAGCAAACTGACACAAGAGCAGAAAATCAAACACCGCATATTCTCACTCATAAGCGGGTGTTGAACAATGAGAACACATGGACACAGGGAGGGGAGCACTACACACTGGGGTCCGTTGGGGGGAAATGGGGGAGGGGCGGGGGGGTGGGGAGGTGGGAAGAGATAGCATGGGGAGAAATGACAGATACAGGTGAGGGGAAGGAAGGCAGCAAACCACACTGCTATGTGGGTACCTATGCAACAATCTTGCATGTTCTTCACATGTACCCCAAAACCTGAAATGCAATTTTTAAAAAAGATATTAATGATAATAACTAAATGCAAGTTTAACAGTTAGCTCAGTTAGGACAACAATTAAAGTGGAGGTAAAATGATATACATAACACTCTAAGGACGTATTTTAGGCCAAATCTTTAGGTTGTTATTTGGGATTTTAGTAGAAGAATTCAAATCCCCAGACTTCATCTCAATTGAAAGATCTTAATATTGTATATGCATGTTTAGTTTATCTATTCTGAATTATTTCTGTGAAAAGTAAAGCAAAATAATGTTTTTGTTCCTGCATTTAGCTATCTCTACATAAAAATATTAAGTGGTGCTGACACACAACAATGTGAGTTCTCTGCCACTTTCTAAAGACTGTGATTCATAATCTCCTGGATCATGGCATGTGCCCAATAAAGACAGAATTTGCCTTCAAAAAAAAAAATTTTTCAGAGCAAAACATTTGAAGAGGCACTAAAGATGGACATTTTAAAATCCATAAACATTGAAGTACCATATGAATGCTTTAGAAAAATGAAAACTCATAATTATTTCACTTTACTCACCTAGGAAGACTCTAAACTGTAGGAAGTTTTGCTCCAAATATTACCTACTAAGACTAGGAATTTCAAATGATAGGTTTATAGAATTAAAGGAATCTCAAAGGCCTTTGGTCACCGTTCTTGGTGGATTTGTCCCTTGGTATCCATGGGAAATTAATTCCAGGACTCTAATAGATACCAAAATTTGTTCATGTTCAAGTCTCTGATATAAAACGGTGTACTATTTGCATATAACCTATGCATATCCTTCCATATACTTTAAATAATCTCTAGATTACTTATAATACCTAATACATGATTTCCATGTAATGCTATGTAAATAGCAGATATAATATATCTTTTACATTCATATTATATTTTATTGTCGTGCTGTTATTTTAAAATTGGTTCTTTCTCCCAAACATTTTGATCCAAAGTTGGTTGAGTCCACGAAGGCAGAACTCACAGATACTGAGTGATGACTGTACTTGAATTAATAGCAAAAATTCCAAACAAAACCAAAAATGAAATCCTTAGGCCTTGCCAATTCTAAAAAATCTTTATCCATTGCCTCAAATATATGGAAGTAGCACAGGATATTTTTTGAAGAAAGTATGTTTCTCATCCTTGCCCTGACTTCTCATATCAGCCTAGTATTTTCATGCATTTTCAAAATATCCATCATTACAGTATGTTTTCAAAACCGTTTAGCTTCTGCTTTCTTTATTTGAAAGGCTCACAATTGAGTAGAACTGAGAGGACAATGAAGGGAGGCTTTTCAGTTGGTCACATTTGCTTAATTAAATACATCATTTCTCAAACTCATTTGACCTCAGGCCACTCGTTTGACCTCTGTATTATTCATTTGAGTAATATAGAGGTCAAACTCATTTGATCGCTATATTACTTTATTATATTAGTTTTGTATTTTTTAATGTTAGCTCTGTACTCTTTTTTATGCAATATATTCTGTTTGCTACAAATTTTTATTGCTTTACTCTATTGTTCCCCAATGCTGACCACTACCCACTAAACTGATTTTAAGACTTACTAACATGTCGTTCACTTTCATAAATTTATGAGATTAAATAGCTTGCCTGGGGTTCTACTTTGGGGTGTGGTATAGTCATGACCCTGGCTGGTTGACTTGGAGCCCACTATGTTCTCCTGTTTGTGAAATGATAAAGAAAAAAAAAAAAAAAAAAGCAAAAACAACTT